ATTACAATAGCATAAGCACATTCCACACCAAGAATTTACCACTACACACACATTAGCATGGAAAAGTATTCTATAGGAAAAACAGTCTTATTTACTACAATCAGTCTCTTTTACTTGAGTCTTTTTTTTCTGTCCGAAGAGGACTCAAATTCTCATGTTCAGATTTTGCCTCTTCTCCGTTTGGGGCTTTGATTACTGGTCAAACTGGAGAACTATTCTTATAACACTATCAATGTAGACATACTTATTAGCTATCCTTCACAAACAAAAACTGAAGATACTTTCTATGGGATGAATCCAAATCATCACCAGCTGAGTGAAATGTCCCCATCTCTAACTGTAGCCTGCTAAGAACCCCCCCCCCCAAAAAAATCCCAAATTCTGCAGCTGCAGCAAAAGAATCCACAAGAACAGCACTGCAATGTGAAGGTCTGCAGCTCAAAAGGGGAACTGGTGAAAATCACCAGCCCTCCTCCACCAATAAAACTGAGCCCTTTGGATCAGCAGACTTATCTGAGGGGTTGAGCTTTCTGAGTTACTACAACAAAATAGTATAACAGTAACCTCTGTATGACAATCAACTGATTGGCCAGACATTGTCAATTAAAATTCTTAAACAACTGTCAAATATTTCATATAACAAGAATGCCACTGTGGTAGGATTCTTTTCTATCATTTGTTAGCAATGAACAAGAGTAAAGATTCCTCATCCACTCCCGGCCTGGTAAACGAGAAAATGAACATAGTAACATGACTTCTCCTACTGGACACCTACTATAACTGCAGACTTCTCTAGAAGTTTTTTCCCCCTTTTTTAATTGCTGTTATTTTATTTTGGGGTCAAATTCTGAGAGTTAAAAAATTGGCTACCAAATAGTCCTCATTTACTGTAACCTTATCTAACACTTAAAAATCACTAACACATTACACATTTCAAAGTTAATTTCATTGCTGCCCAGTGTTAACTACTTCCCTAATATTTACACTTTGTTGTGATAAAGTGAATATTTCAAAAATACTTAACAGATTGAATGGCCAAACATACTACTATGGATCTTCCGGCTGCACAAACTGTTGGTGCTGTTAGCAGTTTCTACTTGAGGGAGGGAGTGTTAGGATATATCCCCGACCACAAAAATGTATCAGCACTGACAGAGTGACTATTGTCCAGTGTGTGCGCGCACACAAAGTCTTAATCCAACAAATCCTACACATACAAGTCCAGATTTTAGATGCAGCACTCTCCCCTGCCTTCAGAATCCTTTTCTACATACAGCATGCAATCTGAAAGAGAATCTATACTGAGTGGATTTGGACAGAAAAAACATGGAAGCTGGCAATAACAAAGTAAGATGAAGAAAGAAGAGCAGAATATTATAAACAGAAGAAAATCAACTACTGAATTCAAAACTGGAAAACTACTTAAATAAATGCAAAAAAGACACACTGACTTTTACATCTATCTTAATGTATCAAAGCATATTTGAATTTTAAAGGCACAGCAGATGCTTGACCAACATTCCACCAAGAAAGGGGTTGTATCATTTGATCCCTTGATTAGGCTTGTCTCCTTTGATCAGGAGGATCAAGATGGTGTAACATACTGAAATGGATGGGAAATTTCAGTTTATAGCAGTGGGCAGATGATTCACTGCCTATTTACACTGATATTTACACTGATATAGTCTAACGAAATGAATGACTATTACAGTATAAGTATCAGCAAAGTGGACTGTCTTCAACAGCAACAGTTTAAAAAAACCCTCCCCATTTCTGAATAATTGTAGATTCACAGTCTTTCATTGCTGGGAATCTAAACACAGAAAAAGTCAACTTACCTTTATTTCCTTGTCCTTTAGGTCTCTGTTAGTAATAAAGAAAAAAATAGAAAAATCAAACATTAAAACCCTTTTTATACATCATATACACTCAATTATAGATACATTCAACCAAAACAGTGGTAAAATGGCTTGTTTTATTAACAGAACTAAATTGCTTAACCAGAGTTAAGTTAGCAAGTGTTGCTTGGAATGCTCATTGCTACAAAAGTTAGAAGCCACTTACATGTTTTTACTATCCAGAAACATAACAGGAACACAAATCATATGATATTTTATGCTTGTGAAGCCTTAGGGGGTGTAATCACAAAAAAGGCTGTTTGTATTTATATATAAGCTGTCTACCTCACAAACCAATATGTATTCTCATCACTAAAAGCCCAGCTAAAGAATAATATCCCATCAGTTCAAAGAAGCTTTTCTGTAAAAAGAGCCAGAATTTAACACAGAGCTACAATAGTACTCCATACTCCAAGTCCTAGCACTTACGTAGATGAGAAAGAACTACTGCAAGACCAGTTAACCAAATTAGAGTAAACAATGACACTGTCATATCAAAATACTCTATTTAAATTAACAATGGGTTTACAACTCAGGATTTTCAAAAACAAAATTTCCTCCCTCCATTAGCATGCCACCTCACTTCCCCTTTCTTTCACACCAGACTTGGGTTGCTCCTTGGAAAGGATTTCTTTCACATTAACTGTGATTACTTTAACCCTGGCAGAATAAAGGAAAACACACTCTCTTTAGGCAGTACTAAGGCCAAACTGCCAGAACTGCCAGAAGTACAAGCTGGGTTTCGAAGAGGTAGAGGAACTAGAGATCGAATTGCCAACATTCGCTGGATTATGGAGAAAGCAAGAGAGTACCAGAAAAACATCTACTTCTGCTTCATTGACTATGCCAAAGCCTTTGACTGTGTGGATCACAACAAACTATGGCAGCTCCTTAAAGAGATGGGAGTACCAGACCACCTCACATGTCTCTTGAGAAACCTGTATAAGGGTCAAGAAGCAACAGTTAGAACCGGATATGGAACAACTGATTGGTTTAGCATAGGAAAAGGAGTACAAGGATGTATATTGTCACCTTGCTTATTTAATATATATGCAGAGTACATCATGTGAAATGCTGGCCTGGATGAATCACAAGCCAGAATTAAGATTGCTGGGGAAAAGATCAACAACCTCAGATATGCAGACGAGGACCTCAAGAGCCTCTTGCTCAAGATAAAAGAGGAGAGTGCAAAAGTGGGCTTGAAGCTCAACATCAAAAAAGCTAAGTTCATGGCATCCAGCCCCACCACTTCTTGGCAAATAGAAGGGGAAGTCAAGGAAGTAGTGACAGACTTCACGTTCCTGGGATCCCAGATCACCGCAGACTCTGACAGCAGCCATGAAATTAAAAGACACCTGCTCCTTGGGAGGAAAGCGATGGCGAACCTCAACAGCATGATAAAAAGTAGAGACATCACCCTGCCAACAAAAGTCCGCATGGTCAAAGCAATGGTATTCCCAGTAGTCATGTATGGCTGCGAGAGTTGGACTATAAGGAAGGCCGAGTGCCGAAGAATAGATTCTTTTGAACTATGGTGCTGGAGAGGACTCTTGAGAGTCCCTTGGACTGCAAGAAGATCAAATCAGTCAATCCTAAAAGAAATCAACCCTGACTGTTCCCTGGAAGGCCAGATAATGAAACTGAAGCTCAAATACTTTGGCCACCAAATGAGAAGGGAGCACTCACTGGAGAAGACACTGATGCTGAGAAAGACTGAAGGTCAAAGAAGACAGGGACAGCAAAGCATGAGATGGTTAGATAGTGTCATAGATGCAACGAACATGAAATTGAGCCAACTTCAGAGGACGGTGGAAGACAGGAAGGTCTGGCGTGATCTGGTCCATGGGGTCGCAAAGAGTCGGAATCGACTGTGCGACTGAACAACAACAACAAAAGGCCAAAACAAATATTATGTTCAGAAGTGATGACCAGTTTATGTACCAATGAAGACTCAACCTTGCATGATGTAAATCTGTGGATTTCATTCTATTTGAGTTCCTTCCAGACCTCCATTAGCAGATAGTGTACACAACGGAAAAAAAAGAAACCCAGCAGGGTGAGGCTGTGAAAGCTCTCTCGGGGAGATAAAAAGGATAAGAAAAAGGCCTCTTAGCAGGTGAAACCTAGAGCGAGGGGAGCAGAAGTAACTAGGCACCAGAATCAGCAGCATGAAAACACATCGAAGACGCATATAAAACTGGGCAATAAAAAACGTTTTAAAAAGATACTACCTAAGGGGAAGGGGACGAAAAATGGCTGCAAAGGGACGCGGGGAACCGTAGCGGAACTACAGAAAATAAGTGGTGGCTGGGCGACGAGTAAGGCCCTCGAGCCGAAGGCCCCATTTGCGGAGATAAAGCGGAGGTGCCATAGTTGGGCTGGAGGCTGCACAGAACGAAGCAGGGCGACGGGGAAGGAAAAGCCGAAAGAAGGCAAAACCACAGCCTCTTGCAGAAGGAGGCGCCACTCCTGAAAGCCAGCGACACGGCCGCTGCGGGAAGGCCCCAGGCCGGGGCTGAGCGGCCTCCAGGCTCGCGGAGGGGGCGGTCCTGGGAACGGGGAGGAGTCCCACGGCCTCGGATGTAGCGGGCACGGATCCCCGCTATGCCCAACGGAAGAGAGGCAGGAAGCGCAGAGCGACTTAAAGGGGCGCCCGCGCGGGCAAGGCCTAGACGATACCTGGTCGACGCTGGTGGCTGACATTCTTTACGGGGAACCGCGATCCCCTCACCCCGCTCCGCCTGGGCCTCCTCCTTAGCTCCTTTAGGTCGTCGCCGCCGCCTTTGCCGCCACCACTTGATTGTCTCCGCAGCCCGGACACTCTTGGCCTAGTCGGTGCCGCCGAATGCAACCAGCTGGACACAACACAGCTTCCCTCCCCTGCTCCGGGCTCCCAATGGCGAACGCGCTCCTGCTCCCACTTCCGCTACACGGCTCCCTGACCTTCCGCTCCCCCTCCCCCCGATGATGTCGCAGCCGACCTTTCCGTCTCCGCCTCATGTCACGTGCAAGACGAAAAGATACCCGCATGCGCTAGCGCTTCCTTGTGTTACCCGTATGCTACATTTCTAGATGGCCGGTAGTAGGTGCTTCAAACAGTGCGGGGGAAGCGCATGCGCAGTCTTGCCTACGAAGAGTAGGGTGGAGTGATATTAAATTTTTCCGTTCGCCGGAGTAGAGCTGTGAGAGTGTCGAAGGGGAAGGTAGGTGTCGGTTTTTTTGACCGGAGCTCTTGGTTTGTAGGCAGCTCTCTGTGATACCGGTAAGGGATGGTGTGGAGTGGTGGATTTGGGTGGTGAAGAGGACCGAAGCTGCTCTTTTGTATTATGCAAAAAGACAGTGAGCGGAATTGCCCGGGCTACTTCCTGCCTGGTTGTCATTGTACCGAATGGAGGGCCTCTGGTTTCCGTCCTTCCCAGGGCAGGCCTGCTCTACTCCGGGCGAGTGACTGTAGAAGCGAGGGGCCAAGTCAAGGGGCGAGGGGCAGAACAGGGAAGAGCCGTGTGTTCCTTCCCCTCAAAGAGAGAAGCCGAAGGGTGTGCTTTGGCGTGGGTGGGGTGAGCGCTGTGTGCTGCCGGCCTTGTGAGCACCAGCAGGAAGTTTGGGTGGAGTTCTGGTTTTGCGGCCTGTCGCTCTCACGTATTTCTCTTACTCCTAGCGCATCGTTTTGTGTTCGTTTGCGAGTTCGGCCTCTCCGCGTACCATGAGCCCGACGGATGCGAAACGCAGTGGAGCTAAGCGCAGGAAGAACAAAAGGGCCGGTGGCCTGGGCACATCAGGCCTCGCCGACAGCCTAGAAGTCAAACCTGTAGGGTCTGCTTCCTCAGCCACTCTCTCCTTCTCCTCGCCCTCCACTTCCTCTGTGGCTTCTTCCTCTCCCGCTGCCGGGAGTGATCTTCTAGCCTCTGCTGCAGCTGCTCCTTTAATTTCCAGTGAGAGCACGGGAAAGGCCGAAGTCCCCAAAAAGCGCTGTGGAGGAACAATTAATTCTAGGCAGACTCGCAAGCAAAGTCGAATGGCTGCTTCAGCCGTGGAAGTAGGTTCACAAGTAGAACCAATTGACCTTGAAGAAAGTGTTTGTGAAGAAGTGGTTGACCTCACTTGTGAATCTTCAGAACCAGTAGTAGTTGATCTTACGCACAATGATTCTGTTGTGGTGGTTGAAGAGCATGTGCGGCAGCAACGAAATCGAAAGTTAAGAAGCCAGCAGCTTCCCGACAGCTGTGTATTAAGTAGTGATGATGATGAACCAAGAGACAATGATGTTGTGTTGACTAGTACATTGTCAAGAGAATTGGAATTGCTGGAAGATGGAGTTACAAGCTCAAGGCGTTCTGGTACTGTGAGCTGCCCAATTTGCATGGATGGCTACTCAGAAATTGTACAGAGTGGACGGCTCATCGTGTCAACAAAGTGTGGTCATGTCTTCTGTAGTCAATGTCTCCGTGATGCCCTAAGGAATGCCAACTCTTGTCCAACTTGTAGGAAGAAACTTGGTTGCAAGCAATATCACCCAATTTATATATGAAGTTTCAGATTGTTCTCAGAAGAATTCAAATTGTACTTCTGAGTCACATTTCATAAATTGATTATACTTCTGCAAGCAAATAATTACAGGTTGTGCATATTGCCCAAATGTAACTTTCCACGAGTCTGCCCTATTATCTGGAACACACCATTGGCTTTACAATTTATCAGGATCCACAGAAGAACAATGATGACTGCAACTTGGTATTTCTACACTGTTTTAAAGTATTTGAATGGGAATAACTTTAGTACTTTAAGAGGGATAAGTGTCGATGTGTTTGTTCAGTACTTGAGAATCATAATCATGATAACGCAAAGTCAAGCTAGCAAGTTACTAGAAAACCTGCTATTATTCAGATTAGTCACCATCTGTTATTCCATTTCCAGCTTTCCTTCACGTGAACATTTCTGGATTTCCAAGGAGACTAGTCCTCATAGCCATACTTCAGCTCACTTTTGTTGGAAATCTGTAAATACTTTATTGAAGGTATGCTTTGATGTTCTCAGTTTGTTTTCTCTTGGAAACAGTGTAGAAGACACAACTGATATTTGTAAGAAATAGTCAACTTCCTACAGCCATAGTCAATTGTAAACTAATCTTCTGTTTCCAGCAGATTTACAGAACAGAGAAAACCTCACCCCTTCTCCTCCAGGTGTGTGTGTGAGATTTACAGTAGCAAGATTTGGCCTCTGTAATATATTTGTAGTAAAATGCTTTGTATGTTGAAACTTTCTCAAATTATATCATGATTATATCTTCAATAAGTTTATATTGCTGACTTGATCTTAAGTGCACGTAACTCAGTCTTCTGCTGAACAAGAGTGTCTTCCATAAAATATTTAAATTTGGCAAATTGTGGCATAATTATGTTGTTCATTGATGCAGTGACTTGAATCCTAATCTTAAATCTGTTCTGGAAAGAAAAAAATTGTTCTGAGAGAAATCGTTTAGGTTAGTTCTGGCACCAGATTAAAAGGCAATAATAGGACATGTAGTTACCTAAATCTTAGGGATTATATTCTGTAACATCAAAAGGAGTTTAATTCAGTAGTTGCAGAAATAGATGCTAATTTGGCTCCTTGGGGGCTTTGTATTGGTTCAGTGTCCCAGAAAAGCTGCTGAAATGTTCTGAAGGGTTCCCAAAATGTGACATAAAGATTTCCATTTTGAAGGCTTACAGATTTGTATGTCCTGTTGAGCTTCAGCACCACAAAGATGAAACTTTTTTCTTTAAAATGGACTGACTCTACTTACTTATGTTCATCTACCAAAAGTGCCCCTGTAGCAGCTCACTGTAACTTCATTGTAATAACCTGAGTGTGATTATATTGCTACTGTATATAGAATCCAGCGCATGAAAAAGGATGTCCAAATAAGAAAATGCATTTAACTTGTTATGCAAATTAGTCTGCCACTTGTGCCTGGGAGAGTATCATCCAAAGACTGCAATTTTATTTTATCATACTTGTTAAACCATTACAACTACAAAAAGCAGTCATGGATGTCAGCATCATGTATAAGCCAACTAATGTATTGAAAGTCAGTAGTATATCAGTACCATCAAGTAAAATTATGATTTTTTCCCCTACTGCACTCATGAGGGGAAAAAACATATACCAGTTTAGTTCAGCTTTCAGTTGAGTACTAAAGTTAAAAAGAAAAAGGGGCCAAAAACTGATTGACTGGGACCTCACTGGTGATACCACCATAGACATAGGTTTTTGTTTGCAATGTGGTGTTAGAACAGAGAATAGTTTTGCTAATCCGCAGTTAAAGGTAGAGTTACAAAGTTTCCCAAAGTAGCTTATTTTTATCTGTTGTGTTGAAGGCTGTTATTGCAAACACAGTACATGATTTTATGAATTAAGATGTTTTTGTTAAAAAGATGAGCGCATCAGACAGCTTTCTATAGTAGAATAGCTAGCCATAAAGTCAGCCTGATCCTTAGCAAGAATCTCATTTGCAAACACTGACTCCTCAAGTTTAGAAAGTAGATCATCTCTACATATGGCAACCATAATATCCAACAAGGGTCTGGATTTAATTTGAAGGAAAGCTTTTGTATTCTTCCTTATGGATTGGAACATTAGATTTCTCCCAGTGAGGAGGTGGCTTGTGATATTTATACCATTAGTGAGTTTGCATATGACAGGCCCCACAAAGAACGTTAGCTTTGAAAACCTCTGCAGAATATGATGATCACAGCAGAGTATGTTCTTGATGCAAGGTGACCAATCAAATCTTCTGTATCAATCATTGATGAGGAATGTGGTAGAATTAATTTATTCATTTTGAAATGTATTATTAGGGATATTGTGCCTCAAACCTCTTATTAAATGTAGCAGAACAAAGTACTTCCCAGTCCAACAAAAGTGTTAAAACTAGAGGACTGCAATGACCACATATTGTTCACTGTTCCAAACATTCTAAAGGTTGTTTCCTGTTGACATTTTGCTGATGGGGGGGCAATATTGCCTGATTCTCTTCCTCGCTTCAGATCCCGACAGTCATGGCTTCTTGTCCATGAGGGTCTTGCAACACCCAGCATTAGCTTTTGGGGACTGCATGACAATGTCAGGGAAAAGCAAAGACTGAGTCCCTTCTGCTGTTGGAAAGGTGACAGAATCCTATCTGTTTACAATATTTTGGCTGTCATATTATCACTTAAACTGAAGCATAATTGCCTCTGATGTGTGCTTTTTAGCTTTAAATAAAAACTTGTATGTATTTGAAGATTAACTAGAGTTTATATCCAGTGTTTTCTCTTTTTCTAGGTTTCTAATGTCTGTTTTCTTCTTCAAGATGTTACTTTTTCATACCATTTAGATAGTGAAGGAAATTATAAATTGAATGGCATGATTTAATATGTGATTATCTTACAAAACAAATTTTGAAATAGCTTATATGTAAGCATGAGAGTTCAGGATAAACTAACACAAATAGAGTATAGGGTCCAAAGGCAGAGGGTTGACAGAGGGTTGATTTTAATGATTTGGTTACACATCATATTAAAGATATGTTAATCTAATATAATTTGAGTTGGTAGTGTGTCACAAGTTGCCTGTTTTTAGAAGAGAAAAAAGGTATATTTGAAAATAACAGGCCCATTAAGGCACTATTAGTTTGTTTACTGTGTGGCAAAAATGGCTTTATATATATTAAATTGGCTACAAAACAAAATTTGCCATCAAAATTGGCTGCCTCAACCTGCAAGACATCTAGGTGTCCAGGGTTTCAGTGGCTTTGGTTGCTGAGTACTTTTCTCATATTTGACATTACTTGAGCTGTACTGCGTCAATGAGCTTATTTTCTAAACTTTAGATTTTGCTGAGTAGTACACAATTAGAAACTTGTTTGCAAAAGTGGTGCTAACTGTGGGAAATGAGCTTTACAGATAACTAGAGTCCCAGTTGTCCTTGTCAGAATATACTAAAGAAATCAATGAGGTGGACCTTTCCTTATACTAGAATGCAAGAAGTCCATATGCACTCAACTGCACAAGGTAATATATTTATGTTAAGTACTATAACAGGGATTATGTCTGTCACTGCAGTGAGTGATATTAAGGTCCTCACTTTAATACCTCACTGGAGTGATTATTTTCCATTTGTATTTTGTACTGCATTTTACCATGCTACATGTTATATATGGATGGTCTGTGATAAGTCATCATTGCAGACAGGACAAGATCCTTTTTCTTGAGAAAATGGACCCTGAAGATCAGATACTCTGTATGAATGCAACTAATCCATACATTAAGCTGCAAGCATGCAGATAGGCCTTAAGCATTTAACTGGCTGTTCTGTAGAATGCTGTGCTACCTTATTGGATTAGAAGGTTGGTGGAATATTCCTTTATACTTTTGTTTTATGATGGATAAATTGTAAATACCTGTATGTAATCTTTAATATATAGGGAAGTGTGCAGATACAATAGTCATTCACATCTTGATGCTTGAAGAGCTGTCTAAAAGAACAATTCACAAATTAGGTGCCCTTTAAATGTCTTCTCAGGCTGATCCACAAACAGGTTCCATATGCCTGGGAGCTACATCTAAATGATTGGTCCTGGCTGTCTGGTTGGATCACTTACATGCATCCCCCATATCTGTGGAATTTGCTCATGGATTAACGGGCTCCATGCAACTCAAAACATTTAATGGGTACCAACTGCTGGAAATAACAGCATTTTAGTAAGTAAAAATGTTTACAGCAAAATTTCTCCTACAGATGGGAAGACCTGATTTCTCATACTAAAATGTAACATTTAGTAAGTTCATTAATTTAAGAACTTTGAGAATTGCTTCCTGGAAGCTGTTAGATCCCTGTTAAATACATTTAGAAATTTATCAACTCAGAATATATTCTGATTAATAAATCTAATATAGTTTTGAAGACTGTGCTATTATAGAAGATGTAGCTGTCTTGTGACAGGCAATACAAGAATATAGGGATTTTATGAAAGTAATGATTCATAATTGAGTTTGTTTACAGAATTCCTTTGTCTCAACAGAGGCTGCACAAGTTCATGGTACTGCATTGTAATTCTTCATTTATATATGTTCCTTTGGATGTGAGCATATACCGAAAGTTGTGTACTAGCTTTTGGGAATTCTTACTAGTTTTTAGTTTGTAGTGCTTGGTTTTTAAAATGGCATCTGCATCTTCACAACAACAAAAATGGAGCCATTAGAAATTTGTTTTCAATGTACCCAGGTATATATATCATGCTGCTTTTTGGAATCTTCATTAGGCAAATAAATTTCATTGCAGATTAAAATAAAGCTATTTGTGTTCTTGTCTCGCCAAATGTTGAACAAGATCTGGGATTTTCAGTGGCATAGATACTGGGTTCAATCCAGACTAGATTTTCTAGTGGTAGAATGGAACTTTCCCGCTTCCCCTTACCCACTGATTTCCATGAAATACTGTTCCTGAGAGACAGGGAACACTGAGGAATGAAGAGGTGTGCAGTGGAAAGGAGAAATTGATGGAAATTGCAATGTAGTCTGGATCAAATCCATTGTGTAGTTGAATATAAACACGTGTGCCTGAAATTTTTTAGTGAATTGTTATTGGAATGGACTATTAAAAGACTTGGTCATCTGAGAAATGGCTTCTGCTGCTGAACTCTGGTCAAGTTTACTCCATCAGAATCAAGTGGCTAAGCTTTTGCTGGACTGCATTATTGTAGGCCAGCAGTAGGCAGGTCAGTCAAATAACAAGTAACTCTCCAAACAAAAGTGGCTACTGTAATTGCTTTCTCTAAAACTACTGCAGCAGTTTCTTTTCCCTGTTGTGTGAAGGAAAAAGAGGCACACGAGTGATGCCAGCAGCATCCTTCCCACATACCACTCCTTCAGATTTGCATGCATGCATATACCCTTATTGTGGACAGAAGAGCAGCATGCTATTGACTCTTTTATTACATCAAAATTACTTGCCTCTTCCAAGGAAAGCAGAAGTAATTATTTACAGTTGGTTACAGTGGTGGTCATAGTTTGCTTTTAGTAAAAAGAAGAAATGTTTCCCACCTAAGCACTGCAGACCTGCTCTGAAACACTCATTTTTTAACAAGTCACCGTTTTGTGACTAGCTGTCCACCTCCTGGGTCACCGTTTTGTGACTGGTATCTTGCAAGGATTTTTTAACAAGTCACCGTTTTGTGACTGGTATCTTGCAAAGCTGTTGGGAGGGGAGGAAAGTAGTCCTGCTGTAGGCTATTGAAAAGAAAGGCATAACTTATTAACTATTTAAA